AGATTCACGAAGACGTCTTCATTCCGATACATTTTGGCATTGACCCACACCCAAACGAAGCTTGATTTGAGTTACCCATCCCCTCCGACACTATTTTGACGTCGACCCACTCCTTACCCAAGAGGTTTTATGGTGAGATAGTAGGTAACGGATCATCTAAACTCACTTTCGATGCAAAATAAGTGTTTCTAACATGATTTCTAATCAAGTTTGGTTTGCTTTTGGATTTAGGAACCCTTCGGTGAACTTGGTAGCACATTAGAACTTTGTTGTAAGTAGTTTCTTACTGGAGGGATTGATTGTTGTGTGTTGATATGATATGGTTGTTTGCTCGTGTGCCCATGGGTGATACTTGCATGTCGTTTGTCGTTGTTATCATTTAGTAAACGTCATTGTTGATAAAACCGTTGATATATCTTGGGAAAAGTATGTGGTTGTGTGAATAAATTGTAGCCAGGTAATCCTTGATGACTATGATTGAAGTGTTATTATGTTCTAATTGGTTTTCATAATTAAATTTGTATACAGGTACTATAATCTGTTGTTTCGAAAGCATATTGAATATTTATGAGAAATCGGTTGCGTTTGATGTATGCTGGGTATTTATCAATTATATTTTGGTTAAGTGGTTGATTGTGCTTTTTCTGTGAACGATGCCTGCTGGAGCTATTGGATCATGTTGGACTATTTTAGATTAATTGGCTTTTACATATGATCATTTTGGTGTATCGCATATTGAACTGTTATGAGATTGTTGATGCATGAGGCATGGCGTAGTAGCAAGTAGGACTCTTATGAGAATTTTGGGACATAACAAAGTAGCACGGGGCGGGTGTGTGCGTTGATGTGTGTTAATAGAAATTGTTCTTGCTGATTTTACATTATAAACATGTTTCTCTTATTATTTTAATTGTTGGACAGGTTTGTGAGGTCGATGCTGTTATTGTAACTTGCGGTTATTTTATRTATTGGATATGTATATGACTGGTATTCATGTTTGTTGTCYGCAACTTTAGGAACTTRYTGATATTGTATGGTTGGTTGGAAGTGATTAGGATTTGTTATGTTGTGAAAAGCATGTTATGTGAAGAATGTCATAGGGTTGTTTATTGAAGCTTTGTGTGCGCTATGCTGTGAGCAGGTTGGTTGTTGTCAAACTTTGTGTTATTGAGACCCGTGATGCATTGAAATCTTACTAGTGGTTGTGTTGTTGTTGGGCTTTGTGGTGGTTGGTGTTATTAGGGAAGTAGTATTGAAATCCTGGTTGGAGGCTAGAAATGATATGTGGAGTTATGAAAGTTACGAAGTGAATGGGTGAGTGTCAGGGCCTCGGGTATAAATGGTCGAGGGCTGATACGTCACTAATTGGGTATCGAGGCCTCGGGTATAAATGGTCGGGGGT